AGGTTCGTTCTGGGAGCGCGAGCGAGCACATCCGGCAGTCATCCTGACAGAAAATCGCCGAATCCTACGGGGCGAAATTATCTTTCGGCGATTGCCGTTTACATCGTCCTGTAGCTTCCGTACCGTTGGAGGTCCATATCATGCCGGGTTTCGCTCGAAGAGTGAAGGGGAAGGGGCGAAGGGAAGAGAGCAGGGAGGATCCATACAGTTCGCGCGCAGAGTCCGTGGGTCCATAGCTACGGCTATAGCTTGCCTCTGCAGTTCGCCGGCTATTTCCCATTTGGCAGGCGAGCCAGACCCAGCACTTTTGGTGCCAACCGATAATTGGACGAATCACAGTCATTCGCTTCGCGCGAACTACTCCTCCCGTCCTGTCTCCCTTCAACCTTTTTATCTCTCACTCTCCCTATCTCTCTCTCTCTCTCTCTCTCTCCCTCTCTCCCTCTCTCTCTCTCTCTCTTTCTTTCTCTCTCTCTCTCTTTCTCTCTTTAAATATATGCTTTCTCTCTTTTTCTCGAATGAGTTTACTGAGCGTGTTCTCTGTCCGTCCTCTTTTCGAATCAGTACCGACGCATTTTGCTCCACTTCTTTTGCAATTCTGCATTTTGAGTCCCGCTACTACCTCTCTCACATCTGTCGGTTTACGCTCTCTTTGCCGGTCTCTGCTTTTCTTCTCCGTAATTTATCGAATTTTCTTTTCTATTTCGCAAATTTTTAGCGGTCTCTCGGAAATTCACGCTCTGTTTGCGTTGAATATGTATACGCTTTTGATCTGACAAAGTGAAGTGATCAATTGACGGTAGCGGCTAAGAAATCTACTTTACCCAAAAATCTAAAACCCACTTAAAAAAACGCGTTTTCTATGTGTGCGCATAGAAAAATTTCACAAAATAATTTTCAGTTACTGGAAAATCTTTCTTAAAGTTATAAAAATTAAAATAACTGACAAAAAGTGACAAGAAGCTTTTGAATCTTTTGAATAAAGCATTCACACGTGATTCCGTTGTCTGTTCCCGATAACATTGTATTCGCGTTTGTTATTTTCGGACACACAATTTGCAAGATTTGTTTCATTATCAACATATATTAACAAATATATTATGACGAAGGACATTCTAATATTTCTTCCAATAGACGTTTAAATAGTAATAGGAATATACGTCGTGCTTTCAATCTTGATTGTCAACGTATTACATATATATACATATATATATGTATATGTATATATATATACATACATACATATATATATATATATATATATATATATATATATATACATACATCTATATACATATTGCTTGCGGATGATGCACAATAGCATACATTCAATACACACAAGCGTTATTGATTTGTAATATCCTGGCGGAGTTAATTACATCTGCTTCCCTTTCCACCGCAGTTAACTTCAAGTGTTCGACCTCGTTTCGGAGAGAAAAAAAAACATCAATTTTTATGAACACAACGAATCGAATTTTCACAGCCGAAGAAAATCTTGCGGAGAGATTTCCGATTTTACTATCGCGCAAATATAAACTTTATCGCCACACGGAAGAAGCAAATAAAAATTCGCTACCCTACCGATATTCGAAACGGGGCACGTTATTATTGAGAATTTTTTATGCCGCGATGAAAAAGCTCAAAATTTGTTTCCCCGCGTAATTCTATGTATATACGGGGGTCAACCCCGTTATATTTGAAATACATGATAACTTTTGCGTATATACACGTAGATAAAGACGCTGCGAATCGCGCGTGTTAAGGGGTGGTCGTAAAAGCGAGCGGGTACTCTTTAGTATATACTGCCGAGAGTAGTACGCCTTCGTTAAAACCGCGGGTTTGCATTAGAGCCAATCACAAATTCACAGAGCATTAACCTCGCGTTTGCAAGGGCGATAGGGTACGATAGAACGGGGAACGCGAAGGGCGTGAGAGGTTTGTGGAAAGACGAGTAAACGGAGGGGTACGTACGTAGCGCGGATAGCGTTACGGGAAGTATGCGCTATCTGCAGGATCCATGCTATTTGCGTAAAGTGGCCTAACCTATCCCCTCCCCCTTGCTCCCCCCTCAGCCGTCCTTCCTCTCGATTCCGTGGTAACCATCTACGTTTAGACGGGCCTAGAGGGTAATACATTGTTTGCTCTTCGTTCGCTAAACTAAACCGCATTCGGAATTAATTGCACGTTAGGAGGCCGCGAGATAATTAAAGCCGCCTCGATTGCCTCCCCTATTACTCCCTCAGATACGTCGTTAGGAAATGCCACTGTTGGACATCTTTGTGGTTATGCATATTAGGGACAAGTAAGAGAGGGACAAACATATTTCGTAGTATATCATTAGCTTTCACTTTACGAGATTCTTTTTTGTAGCTTATTTATTTTTTTTTGTTTTCGAAAAAAAACTAATCTTTTCTTCTATCGCGTTTATCGTATTTCTTATTAGAAAGAAAAAACAAGGTTTACGAAATGTCGAGACGTTACGATAATATTCGATTATAATAAATCACACTAATAATAAATTAAACTAACCAAATACCTGTGATTTGAAGCTCCTGAAATCCTTCTGTGACATGCGGACACACTTTTTATCCAAAAGAATCGAGAACCGCGACGAGCGATTTGCGAAGACTCCGGGGAACCGTGGTGGTGTACGCGCCTCGAAATTGCGAGGACGAGCACGCCGAGCGATAATCGGATCGATCATACCGGGGAATGACTCGCCTGCCGAAGGAAATTGGTCGTTAGTCATTCCACCTGGCCTCCTCCGAGCAGGAAACAATTACGGATTCGCAGTCAACAGGAGCGATTCGCGCTCCGAGAGAGCGAGTGGGAGAAAGAGAGAGAAAGAGAGAGAGAAAAAAAATCGGGAATTGTTCTGGTTTTTTTTTTTTTTTTTTTTTTATTCCGTCTTTCTGTCTCTCTCTCTCGAGTCGCGTACGAGAAAAGCGAACAAGAGGGCAAACACAGCGGCCAAGCCCCTCTCTATCGGTCGATAATCTATACGCTTTTTCCCCGCGGAGAAACGCCCACGCCGAAGACCGGCAAGGAGCCATTGTTTCTCCGTGTACGGCCGGTTTGATTGTGCTAATGAAAAATGGGAAAGTAGTAAAACTCGAGCCAACGAAGAGGGGAAGGAGAAGGGGATAGATTCGTCGAGCTTCGGCCGCCACACCGCGGACACGCGGAAGGAGGGTGGAAATAGCGAGACGAGAATTGAACGGCATCCAAAAGCGCTCATAAACGAATAACACTCATAAAAGATAAGATATCGAAGGATTATATCCATTATCATATATCTGGATGCCAGGAACTTTTTGCCTGGCTGCACGGTTTGCCTGACGTATGACGGATATCAGTCTCGCGTTACACCCGCCCGCCATCCGCGAGATATTCTATATTGCGAACAAAAATGATATATCGTCCGCAAATACTAAGTTATATGTGCACTAGTCAGGACTATCAATCATCCCCCCGTGAACATGGTAAAGAAGTGGTCTTTAACTTTAGATTTCACACAGAGAGAAGTGTATTGTAATGTGTAGCTTTTTTGCGCTCGTTCGTTGTAAATTTTATAGCGGCACAGCATTACATTATCTTCTCTCTCTCTCTCTCTCTCTCTGCTGATTATTTTTCTTGCTCTCTTTATTTTATGGGCTCGCTACGTTTCCGTATATGAGAATGCAAAATACTATTTCCTTCTTTAAAGATCGTTAATCGTCACGTAAATTTGCGCGATCGTCAAAATTTTCGAGATAAATATTTCACTCTTTGTAAAATTCGTAAATAGTTGTCTCTCAGAACAATAACAACAATGTAACAATATATTTCAATTTTTAGACCACGTCCTTTTATTATTAAAAAAAAGAAAAAGCTGTTTTAATTGTTTTAAAAAATTACTCTATTTTTTTCATTTCACTTCACATAAATTTTCAGGAGAGAAAGACAGAGAGAAAGAAAAATGAATGTGCTAGTTTTCTATGTAGCAAAATTTATAACTATAATAAAAAATTCAATATTAAAATAAATTTGATAACAATTTTTGGTGAAGAGAAGAGAAAGAGAGAGAAAGAATGACAGAGAAGTATTTTCCATGCCGGTAAATTACCTTTGACGGTAAAGGAAGGCACATCAAGTGTAGAATTACCATAGCAGATGGCACTAGCAGTAAAACAAACGTTTCAAATTTTATGCTACACTTACGAAGAATAGCACGTATAAATTTATTTTTGCATATCGTTTCAAGCCACTCTAAACATAAATTTTACAGCTCGCAACCGCTTTTGTCGTGTGTACAAATGTCACCAATATATAACGACTGTTGTCGAAACAAATTTTCGAAATGGCCATTGCAGTTAACTTACGTGGAAGTTAATTGTTATGAATAAAACAAAATACGCGCGTACGCGCTCAAGCTTCTCTGTGAAGCGCAGCTTCTTCAACTTTTTTGTTTCTACCGTGTAAATATGCGCGACTGTCGTTTTTTTTAATCTCTTGACTAAAAATCAAATGTTTTGCAATCTCTTACTAAAATTTATTAGAATTCTAATGTGTTACGCGTAGACTTCGATTATTTAGTTTTATTTTTTTACAAATATTGGCCGAATATGAATGACAAAAAAAAAAGAGATTTAGAATAAAAAGATGATCGAATTTGCTGTCTTAAGTGCGGTCTTCGCTTCTCTTTCTCTTTCAAGTTACGCTACAAATACTTCGAAGCATCGGTACGTCTTCCTTACGGAATTTAAACAAAGATCGAACGCGATACTTCGAAACATGTGATAAAAACTTTGCAACAATGCAATATAATTATGCATACGTACCAGGCATCTTGACGAGCAAAATTTCTCAAATCAAAGACAACGAGCAGTCATTCCGACGACTCTATTGAATCTATCGAACTGTGTTACTTGTGCTTCTCTTGTTCGAGGATCGATCTTTCGCGTTGCAACGTTGGCAGCACCGCGACATCGATAGTGGCGTGTTTCACGCGGCACGCGCCGTACTGTGTTGTACAGTAGCGAGTGTGTAGAGCTGACTCGGCCTATCGCATTTATTGTGCATTTATTTGCGTCAAACATGTAAATCCGTTGACAGGTGAGTAAACGAGTCGTGAGACGAGAGATCCGGGATTACTGCGAGAGTGCGTGAAACACGTGTTTCGTCTTTAATTGCAGGAAATCCAGAGGAAACATTGCGCATCCGGTGTAAATTACCTCCAGGGGTGGGGTCACGAGTGTGACCGTTGTCATTCTTTATACAACAAACACGTTGACAAGTGATGTCAATCGCGTGAAGGACAAAGACACAAAGAACGCGGTCATGACTCGACCTATCGTGCCAAGCCAGCAAAAGCTGGCTGAGAAACTGACCATTTTGAACGACAGAGGTATCGGTATGCTAACGCGTATTTACAATATCAAAAAAGCTTGTGGTGATGCCAAATCGAAACCTGCCTTCCTTTCCGACAAGGCGTTGGAGTCTTCCATCAAGACCATCGTCAGGAAGTTTCCTAATATAGATATAAAAGGACTGCAGACCATTACGAACATTCGTAATGAGATAATCAAATCTCTGTCGTTGTACTATTATACATTCGTTGACTTGTTGGATTTTAAGGACAACGTGTGCGAGCTCTTGACCACTATGGACGCGTGCGGTGTTCACATGGACATCACGATTAATTTCGATCTGACGAAAGGCTATTTAGATCTTGTTGTTACGTACATCAGTCTGATGATTCTTCTGTCAAGAGTCGAAGATCGCAAGGCGGTGCTAGGGCTTTTCAATGCGGCTCATGAGATGGTACACAGTCAGTCGGATCCCAGTTTTCCTCGCTTAGGGCAGATGATCATGGATTACGACGCTCCATTGAAGAAACTCTCGGAAGAATTTGTGCCACATTCTAAATTATTAAAAAATGCGCTGACATCTTTGTGGCCAATTTATCCTGGCAGGAACTTGACCGCTGACACATGGAGAGCCGATCAGAAATTAAGTCTTGTCGGTAGTCCCAATCAGATTCTCAAGGCGGCGGCAACGGACACCATGTCTTGCGAAACACTGAGTTTGGATAGAATTGAGAGATGGGTGATTTTGGGCTTTACGCTTTGTCACACATGCTTGAATCAAGAACAACCGAGCAAATTGTGGATCACCGCGCTTGAATCTGGCTGGGTTTTGGCATTGTTTAGAGACGAAGTGATTTATATTCATCAGTATATTCAGACATTCTTTGAAGGTATAAAAGGATATAGTAAAAGAGTGTCGGAAGTGAAGGAATGTTATAGTCAAGCAGTGCAAAAAGCTGGTTACAGGCACAGGGAAAGAAGAAAATTCTTAAGAACGGCTCTGAAGGAACTAGGTTTAATTTTAACTGACCAGCCTGGTCTTCTGGGGCCAAAAGCGTTGCTGGTCTTAATGGGACTCTCTCACGCAAGAGACGAAGTTTTGTGGCTACTGAGGCATGGAGATAATCCTCCTATTCAAGGCAAAGGTAAAGGTCGAGGTAGCGAGGATTTGGTGGATCGTCAGTTACCAGAATTACTCTTCCATTGCGAAGAACTCCGAGCATTAGTAAAAAAATATTCTCAGGTGCTTCAAAGATATTATGTCCAGTTTCTTTCGGGATTTGACGCCCCCGCTTTGCATCAAATGATACAAAATCTTCCGGTCTGTCCCGAGGACGAGGGGGCTATTCTCAGTGATATGTGTTCAATTATAGCTAGTCTGACTGTAAAACAAGTTGAGGATAATGAGATATTTGATTTTCGTGCCTTCCGATTGGATTGGTTTAGGCTGCAGGCCTACATGTCTATCGCAAAATGTAACATGAATTTGGCTGACAACAGAGAATTAGCTTCCTTCATGGACACAGTAATCTTCCACACAAAAATGGTCGACAATTTAGATGAGATGCTGGTCGAGACATCTGATTTGTCTATTTTCTGCTTCTACAGCAAGATATTTGAAGATCAGTTCCACATGTGTCTCGAATTTCCGGCTCAGAATCGATATATTGTCGCGTTTCCGCTCATATGCAGCCACTTCCAAAGTTGTACCCACGAACTATGTCCAGAGGAACGTCATCACATTCGTGAGAGAAGTCTTTCCGTCGTCAATATGTTTCTGGACGAAATGGCGAAAGAAGCAAAGAATATTATCACCACCATTTGCGACGAACAGTGTAACATGAGCGACAAGTTGTTACCAAAGCATTGCGCGTTGTTAATCTCGCAAGTTGTTAATCGCAAGAAGAAGGATAAGAATAAGAAAAATATGTATGAGATTCACAAGCCCGGCATCGAGAGCTACCGGAAGACCCGCGAAGAATTGACAACGATGGATAAGTTACACATGGCGCTTACCGAGTTGTGTTACGCCATCAACTACTGTCCTACCATCAACGTCTGGGAATACACTTTTGCACCGAGGGAATATTTGCATCAGCATCTGGAATCGCGATTTGCAAGAGCTCTAGTTGGAATGGTCATGTACAACCCGGATACTAGCGAAATAGCCAAACCGTCGGAGCTCTTCGTCAGCGTTCGATCTTACATGAACGTTCTTCAGACCATTGAGAATTACGTACACATAGATATCACGCGTGTCTTCAATAATGCTCTGCTGCAGCAAACTCAGGAACTGGACAGTCACGGTGACAAGACCATAGCCGCACTCTACACACAGTGGTACTCGGACGTTCTACTGAGGCGAGTCAGCGCCGGTAACATCTGCTACTCCGCGAATCAAAGAGCGTTTGTCAGTCTGTCGGTGGAAGGTGCTATTCCGTTTAACGCTGAAGAATTTTCTGACATCAACGAACTGAGAGCATTGGCGGAACTGATAGGACCGTACGGCATGAAGATGCTGAACGAGAACCTGATGTGGCACATCGCCAGTCAGGTGCAACAGCTGAAGAAGTTGGTGGCGGGCAACAAAGACGTGTTGATCGCTCTGAGAACAAATTTCGATAAACCAGAGGTGATGAAGGAACAATTCAAGAGGCTACAGCAAGTAGACAACGTTCTCCAACGAGTCACCATAATAGGCGTGATTCTGAGCTTTCGGCAATTATCGCAGTCGGCGTTGGTTGATGTATTGGAGGAACGCATACCATTCTTGTTGAGTTCCATATTGGACTTTAGACATCATTTGCCATCCGGCGACCCTATGCGTGTTGTCTCGGAAATGACATCGGCCGCGGGCTTGACTTGTAAGGTCGATCCCACATTGACAACCGCGTTGCGAAATCAAAAGGCCGAAGTCGACGAGGACGAGCACTTGCTCGTCTGCTTGCTAATGGTGTTCGTCGCAGTTTCTATTCCGAAGCTGGCTCGAAACGAAAACTCGTTCTACAGAGCCTCGCTCGAGGGCCACTCCAACAACATACATTGCATGGCCACAGCTATAAACAACATATTCGGAGCGTTGTTCACGATTTGCGGGCAGAATGATATAGAAGACCGAATGAAGGAATTTCTTGCTTTAGCCTCATCAAGTTTACTGAGATTAGGTCAAGAAGCGGACAAAGAAGCTACCCGCAACAGAGAGTCCGTATATCTTTTGTTAGACCAAATAGTTCAAGAATCTCCGTTCTTAACAATGGATTTACTCGAGAGCTGCTTCCCATATGCACTGATACGCAACGCATATCACGACGTGTACAAGCTCGAGCACTCGCAACCGTGAAGTTAATGGCAAAATTGCGAGTGAGACGAAGTGCTGCGTTTCTTATTTGCCACTCAGGGCTACTTTTTTACGTCCACTTGTAACATCGGAGGCAATTAACGCCCGTCCGAGCAATAATCTTCCGGATGGAATTTAGTTCCGGCGTCGATAAATTAAGAAAAAAAAAAAAAGTACAAGTACATGTGTCACACCGGAAAATGGAAGAGTGGTGGATGCCAGTTTTACTCGAGGACTGATAAAATCGACAAACCTCGATATTTTAACGAAATGGCGCGAACCTGCAATATATTGTAACGTATTAGCAATTTTCCTACGTTGTTTGCGACAAGAACTCCATGTGTCACTTATATTCGACACTCCGTGCTCTTCTCAAACTTGTATCCGCGTTTTCTATATGTCGAGAGAATAACTTTATTAAAAAATAATAATAATAATAATTACTCCACGAGCGGGGAGTGTTCGACAAGACTTTTGCGACGATTCTCGAGAAGATACATATTTCGTAATGTTACACCACATTCTTTTGATTTATAATTCTTTGACATTTAGTTCACGAACTATGTAATTGCAATTACATGCTACACAATTTGCGTTTGACAATTCAAAGAACATTCTGTAGTATGTGACTTGCGTATCTTTCGGATTTCAGTGGAGTGTTGTTAACTTTTATGATTAAAAAGTTTTTCTATTTGCACACCGGGACGTAATGATGTGTTAAGCTCCCGCGAATTCGAAGCTAAAGATATCGCGATATGTATCACACAGTAAATATCGTCACTTACCCTTACAGTATGACTTTTTAATGTACAATTGTATCTTTTACAATAGTTTATATATAATAAATAAAAAAACGCTGTATATGTAAAAAAAAAAAAAAAAAAACATCTCGTTGCGCCTCTCTAGAAATCGCACTCTGGTAAATGTAAAATGTATGCTTTATTTAGTTTTTTTTTCTTTACAATGTTTTTGTCTCTTTTATAATCACATTAACGTAACACAAGAGATATTCACAATCATAATCCTCTTATTTATAATATCCTTAAAACACTCGCCGCATTCTAGACATTTTTTTTCTTGGGGTGGGGGGGAAAAGAGAGAGTGGTGGTCTGAAGCTACGTTCAGGCGATTGGTCAGTATCATGCTCAATTAATAATTTACAATACAAAGAGACATACATCTCTCGAAAAAACGCAGCACTCGAAGTTTTGCGCCGACTAAAAGTAGAGACGTAGCACGAACGCAAAGGACTACTTTTTTTTTTTTTTTTTTTGTTCGTGATATCCGAGTAACTATCAATAATAACGTATTTCATAGAAGAAAAAAAAACAATGATAAAATACTTGTTCGCAAAATGGTCAGTACAAAGGACACGAGGTTTTTACGCTTAAATAATCCCGGATGCACGATGTTGATAGGTCACCACGTTTTTTGGATCGATAGAAAAAATATAATCTCGATTTGTTTCTTTTTTTTTTTTTTTTTGTTCTTTCCTCTCTAACATTATGTACAAGTGATAGAGTAGTGTGTGCATCGCGTCACAGTGAACGCTGGCTTCTGGATTAAGATGGACACAACGGAGATTGAGATTTGTTTAATTTGTACACACACACAGAGAGAACACAGAAGTCGCAGTGTGACTTTCGGTCTTCTTCGTCATTTGTTCTTGCGACACCGACAGTGACTTGATATATTTCGGTGATGACATTCGGTCCTATGGCAAAAAAAAAAACAAAAAACAAGAAAAAGGTTGAACTCTTATATCACGGAGGGAAGTAAAATCTCATCTTAATCCAGAGAGACATCGCGGAAACGAATAAGCTTACAAGCATATGTAGTTAGACGTTCGGGACAAAAAATGATGAAGAAAAATTGTATTCTTATTTTATATCTCCCCTCCTCTCGTACGCACGCGCAAGCGACTTCATTGTTTAACTAATTAACTACGACACCTGACCCCATTCCACGCCCGTTCTTTAGGCTTTTTCGAAACGCAACGAGGCTGCCTTTATGTATCCTTCCGTCTAAATATTCGCGTCTATATTGCGTAAAAACTTTGTATCCGTAAATTTTTAATCGTAATGTTCACAGTCAGTTTTGACGTGATATTGGCAGTGAGATGGAAGCAAAAGTAGTTCATACTGTCGTTTCGATTCATCATCGCGGCTTACACATCAGTTTATTCCGAAAGCAAATTTTCTAACTAACCTTGATAACCGTTTTTTTTTTTTTTTTTTTCATCAAGTGGCAGTGGCTCGGAATGAAATGACTCTGCTCGGAAATTGTGTGTGAGATTATCTTTGTAGCTTCTCTTTCTTGAACGGCACGTCACACATCTGCGTTATTGTACGTTTACACACATTTACGAAAAGGTCTTTTCTAAAGAACGAAAAAGGAAATTCAAAAATACACGGACGTATCAAAATTCTCGATTAGCTTAATCGGTCGTCTTCGCGCGTTTCTGTTTAAGAGAGACAACTAACTTACGAGAAACATCTCTAACGATGTAAATATATGCTAAAAACGCATGAAAAGAAGTCGAAGAAGACTCGAGAATTGCACCTCGCTACGTACACAGTGGCAGTAAATCACGTCCGCGAATATATTGATACGCGGACTGTAACTCGCATCGAAATAGACTAAATTGTTTTAACGGCGTCACGCGCGAGCGAGTACGAAATGGGGTCAAAACAGAAATTTCTTTGCAACTACATTGCAAGAAATCTCGCGAAATTTTTTTTCTAAATAACGTTGATCGATACACGATTCTCACGGGGTCCACATCGTCCACAAAAAGAAAAAAAAAGAAGAAGAAAAATCTATGCTTAAAACCTAAAGGCTCGATTAAAGACGCACGTACAGACACTCGTCATCCTTAAAACTTCCACGTCCTGGATTACAAAATACAGAATAATATTTCGCTATAATACAGATCTGATATAAAAACAAGTATTTTTTGTATTTCGCTTTACCATTTTGTTATGGTTATATAATCACTTTATAATATAATATCAGTATATTTACATAGATATACACACTCGCGCGATTTTCTTTTTCTCGCGTTTTTTTCTCACTCGCCATTTTATTCTCTCGCACGTCCGAAGAAACCTTTTTTTTTTACTTTTTTTTTTTACTTTTCCATTTCGTTTTCTCGCGTTTTCGCTCACTTAATCTCTTTTGTCTTTTATTTATTTATTTATTTTTCGCAAGATCTCGCATGAGCCACCTAATAATCACATTATCGCGTATCTATTGTACATTTTTTCTTTTATTCCACGTAATCCGCAAACTCGTATTGTAGCATCTGTGCTGGCACCTCGTTTTTTTATGTTTTTTAAATTTTTTTTTGTAAATCCTGCATCTCTATATCCACTCCCCCTTCGCCTAGGTAAAACACAGTCTTAAAGTTACAACGCACAGAGTTGTGATTTTTTAAATCGCAGAGATAGACATGCAGAGATATATTTAACCAACACCAATTGATATCTGTAAACGTGATTGGGATTTGTTTTTTTTTCTTTACGTTCTACGAACTTCTACGATTTTTAAAATAAAATGAGGACCACTATTTTACATCGTGTGTGAGATGCGCTTTAAAAATATAAATGTTTTGCTATGAATGATTTTTATGGAATAATCTTAATGATCATGGTTAAAAGTCATACGAATAGTAAACTTTCTACTTTCTTGGCGAACTGGTTCACAGAACGTTGCGCGTTTGTTTAATTGTTAAAAGTTTAAAAACCAACAATCATAAAAAATAAACGCGAGATAAATAAAAAATAGCGCATTTTCTCTAAAAATCGATTTTCAATTTTTCGTGTTGCACACATCGTCGATTTTTTTTTTCTCGCGTGTGTTCACTCACCGTAAATTTGATAATACGCAATTCGTAACAACAAATCGCAACTTTTTTGTTTACACAAGCGAAGAAAAAGCGCAATTATTCACTCGCCGAGAAATTTAGAGTTACGAAAAAGAAAAGTGCATTAGGTATATATCGCGACGTCGATTAAACAGCACCGTTGATACGATTCACTTCAAGAATAAGAATCGATCTCGTGTCTCGCTTACGAGTATGCAGCTGTGTGAGCCTATGTAAATATATTTTATATATACATATATATATATATATATATATATAAAATACATTTCTATCTCTCTCTCTCTTTTTTTCATTCAATAAGAGGGCTCGTCTTTGGTCCGCTATACGCAATAGTCGCGCGTTTACGGTGCAGCCCCCCGACTTAACGTAATATGTTAAAAACACATTTTTAATTAAATATAACATTCGCAATAGGCGGAGATAAATTATTATCAAGATATAACTCTAATAATGTAATAGTAATAATATTAAAAAATTATAGTTTAATAATCAATATATATATATATATGTATATTTATATATATATTTTATCCTTGTTCCATAGGTAATAGTTTAATGGAATATCGCTATTAGAAACACATTTTATGTTTTGTTGTTGCTGCTCTTATACCCTTCGTAATCTCGCCTCGCTCGTCTGAAGTGGCTAATACAAATTAGTATAAGAATAATAATAATATATATATCAGTAATTATTATACTACAATGGTACAGAGATCAAGCGAATGACCTGTAATGGTTTGGTAATGGTAGGGTGCTATTTCGCTCCAGAAAGTCGTTTATAAAACATTGTTTGAACATTCAAACAGATAAGTGAATAATATTATGCGTGTGTTACGGTATGCTATTTTATACGCTATAATCCCTCAATTTTTCTCGAAAAACTTTTTGAAGTAAAAACAAGAAAAAGAAATTATGACTGCTTGTTAAAAAACATAATATGAGTACATTAATAATCATTTGTCGAAAACTCATTTTATTATAACGATTATCAAAAAGACCGTATTGTCTAAGAGATTGCCAATTTTCTCCACTAAACTTCACATTATTATTATTTAATCTCCAACAAACAAAGAGATTCTCAAAACTAGAGATTCTCTTCTTAATCTTTTAAACTTTCGAGAGCGACATGCGCACAATATCGACATCTCGAAGGACATCGTCACACGCAAAGACCGTACAATCCCGGCCTTAAATGCTCATATAATATCGAAGGGCAAAAATGCGACGCCTTTTAATGAACCCCCCGGCGTTTGTTAGCTGCGTTATTAACACAGCGAGTGTCGATCGCGCTAAAGCGAAATGAATCACACATCGGATCGATTTAAATTACTCTCTTTGATATCATATAACAATATCGCCTTCATTTATTGCGAAGGTTCTTCGAAGCATTCCTAAACTTTGATCATGCGACGAGTTTTCTGAACGGCGGCACGAGGGTCGCGTTGTAGATTCTACATAAAAAAGATTACATATATAAAATTCTCAATAGTCACAATTTTCGACATATTGCGTTAGCTTATTATCGCGATTCGGGATCGATCTGTCGAGGCGCCGTTCACAGCGTTTCTATCTATATACGAAATCACATCTATCGAACTAATAAAAAAGAAAATGCAATCAATTTCATACTGACACGTACTTTCTCTTTGTATCTACAAGTAACGTGCAGCTTTTATTTCCACATTATATGAGTTCACTGCAACTCAGATAAAAGCGCATATATTCAGCTGGACCTTTCAATCTCGACCATCGTATCAGATTATCACGCTGTACCTCGTCGTTATTGCTTCGACTTCGGTTACGAGACATCGTTGCGTTTCTTACATGGAGTGGATCGGTTCTCTTCGCGTTTGGCAATCGTTTTACACGACGACCCGTGGTGCAACGCCGCGATTGGTGGTCCTCGTCCGTGACGACGTCCTAAGATCGTCACACCTTGTTGTGATGCCTCATCTCATAGGCTGCGCTCCTCCCCCCTCCCCCGGAGCCCGAATAGGCACCGGCATAGAGGTCTGGGTGATTGGAACGGCTGTGGTGGTCTGCTGGCCAGTTACCTGGTGGCGCACTAGCTGTGGGAACCGAGCGATAGCCTGTTTAAAGTTTAGAGAAATGTTCGGCAATGAAACAAAACGCATAACCAAAAGTAAACAACGGATTTTTTGCGGGACGAGAAGGTTGCTGCCGAACATAGATACTAGGTATCTAAAGAACAAAGCAGCAAGGAAACTCTCATTGTGAACTCTACGCTCTTTATGCGTATTTCCTTGCGTATTTGTTTTTCTTTCGTTTTAAACTTCAAATACAAGACAATGCCATTCCGGTAAATCATAATTATTTAGAATCAATACAATTGGTGATGCGAAATTAGAAGGAAAGAAAATGGCTCTTACACGCAAAGGGAAAGAAAAAGTATCTCAGCAATCGGTGCAATGCCATGAACACTGAGCTAGGAGCAAACACAAGAAATCCATAGATATAAATTTCTGTCTATTATAACATTACAATTATAAATTATGATTGCGCTATGTAGCGATATTTGATCTATGCATTTGCTCCTCAATCAAGCATATAGAATATAGGCCCCAGCTCACCTCTGCAGGTTATAGAATGATAGTATCAGTAGTGATGCACGTCAATCAATGCGGGGGGAGATGCAAACAGGAAAAGACATTGATGTAATTGCGGGTCACACAAGGCGAAAACAATGCTAACTTGAGTTTAATTCGTTAAGTTTCAATAGTTAGTAATTTTTGCGTTTACATTAATTTCGATCAATTATTATTATATTATTTTTCATGACACTTTTGATTGATATGTTTATGAGAATTAAACTCAAGACAAACAAATGTGTGATGTGATTCAGTTAAATATGCCAACATACCTTTCGGATAATATTGAGCACCTCTACCCTCTCCATAGCCATGAGATGGTCCACGCGTTCCATGACCACCTTGACTTGGTCTGGGAGGTATACTTCTGGGCCCAGCTCCACCTCCGCCATGTGGATGTCGCTATAACGAGTAAATAATAACAACAATAAACAATTGTAACTATTTTCTCTTATATTATATGTATAATTCCTTCTCTCTCTCTCTCTCTTTCTTTTTTTTTGACGCAACACTCATATATTCTTACCATTCTTCTAAGAGTATTCATCGGTCTCGTTAATGTATCACTGATGCGCCTCGCAGGTGGCTTTTTAGGATTATTGGAAGGAATGTGCACAGCACAACACTTAATGAACAGTCCCATAAATATGATGAAAGCTATACCCATCAGTAGCACCGCCCACCAATATTCCTGAAACAAATAATACACAATATTAGCATAAAATTGAATAGATCGATGATAACTAAAAACAACACGTTTTTACTTACAGTTATCCATTGTGCTACCGATGATAAAGTTTCTTTGTTGAACAACAAATTCTTCAACCTCGCAAGCGGACCTTCCGTATCGACAGCTCGGCATTTCAGGAAAACATCGCAATATCCCTGAAGATAAAAAAAAACCAAAATTTTTTATATACTGAAATTAATCAATAATTTATGCAAAGAATAGATTTACATTCAACCTCTCTAGAATCTTTATAGAAAAAAAAAATTCTGTGTCGGTAATATTTTACCTGAAAATTATCGCAAGGTGAACCTGGTCTGAGGCTCATTCCACCTTCGGGCAGTCCTACCATGTGCGCGAACTCGCTCGTACCGCGACATGTTGATGCATCGGTGCCATTTTGACAAGCTAATTCGCAGAGCTTTCGCTTGTCGATGTTTGGTATGATGCTGCTCGTTAAAAAGCACTCTGTCAGATTCCACTCTAGGCAAATGGATCCGGTGCACTCCCCGTTAATGCAAAGCTGTAAATAACACATTGTTGAGACCAACATTGACAGCCGTTAAATCACAATACAGAATAACAGATCGTAATTACTTGAGTGCCCTCGTTGCATCTAGTCTTATTTGCTCGCGGTAGCGGCGCTGGACATTCGGACGATCTTCCGTTGCACGTGGAATTGTAACTACAGTCAGATTCAGCCCTACATTGGATTTTGTGGGAGAGAGGAATAAACTGGCACGTGTCGCTCGAGCAACAAGGTCCTTGACTTGGACTGTAAACAAATGATCGCACTCGTGAAAAACGATTCACATTGAGATTTTCACACGGAAGGAAAACATTACATTTTTACTTGCACATACCTGCACTGTGTTCCGTATTTTCTATGGCAACCTTTCGCCGTTTCGTTCTTCATCTTATCCAAGTCGGACACTTGTCTGGGATAGCAGCACTTGTCCACACACTCGTTGTCATCGTAACCGCAATCGCACTCCTCGCCAGCTTCAACAATTTTGTTCCCGCAAAACGCTCCTACAATAGTTTCAATCAATTTTATTATAAAGTAAAGATGTTTAGATAGAATATTTTTTCACTTACATTCCGTTTCAAAAATTGCTACAACGTAAAAAAAAAATCTGACGCAAAGATATTTACCAGTGAAACAGTTTCTCTTCTTATTATCCTCGATGGCGTCTAGGACATTGCTGATATTGCCAATGCTGCACTTTGAAAATTTACTATTGTTCGGCCGATTTCCACTTGTCGCCGAGGCGAACATGATGTAATTACCGTCCAAGCCGCCCGGTCTGCATTCCGGTGGAAAATCGTGCTGGAAAATCAAAATATGATGATCGTAACATCGTTTAACTCCGCGTCGTTCCAAGAACAGATTTAACGTGCACATCGCAGAGGAAAACGATGTGCTTGCTTCTCGCAACAATAGCTTACCGGTGATCCGAAGTTATGACCTATCTCGTGCGCCAATGTCAGCTGTGATACCTTGGGTGGTACGCGACTATTGTAATTCACGAAAGTTATGATACCGGTGTTCAGAGATCTCTTCGTGGACTGATACAGACCGGCCACGGTCTCGGTGTAAGTCTTGAACTTCTCGCAGATACCGCCGGACGCGCCGGACGCGGACGCGACCCAGGCGAGTCCGAGGGTGCCTCCGGTGAAATCTCTGTACACAAACAATACGCGAAATAAATTTAAGCGTTCGCGTTGAAACGTTCCAAGTGACGTTTTTTTTTAGTGACACGTTTTTTTTTACTACCTGTAGGTAAAGACATAGGCGAGACAAAAGTCCTCATGATTCGAGAGCGAATGCAGATTCAGGAAGTTGCTGACGTCAATATTCTCCATGCAAAATGGATTCGGTTCGCTGTACTGCTGTTGTGACGTACACGTCGAGTCGTCATCGATCTGTTATGTAAGATACAGTGCGTCAATCACAAGCGGAACGATACAACGATATTATTTTCAACGCAATGCGTTACCTTGATTCGTTGAACCTCAAACTTGATATTTCTATGCTCGGTTCTACCGTCAAATCTCGTGTCTCTGTAGATGTAATTCACCGCGGTAACGTGGTGAGCGATCAGAGACAATATTTCTTCCTTCGTCTTCTCCGCGTCGTGATGCAACTGCGAAGACAAAACACAATTTCAATATCCGCGACAGCAGTTTAATATTTCGTTCGTCTGATTTCGTTCCGCGCGCGCGGCCTAGAAAATTTCTTGCGTTTTCTATATTTTAGTTTTCTTTTATTTCTTCTTTCTATATTTTATGATTTTGAGAAATTTTCACGTCGCGCAATTTTCAAAAATGGAATGAAAACTTGTAATATTACATGTATATTTATATATCTTTCAGATTGTAACAACGTCGACTATTTATGCGTCGTTTTAATCCGCGTCGCTCGAATTAAATTTGCGATAAAGCAAAGTGCATTTAAACTAATCAAAAACACTGCAATTTAATTACCTTATATTTTTTACCTTATATTTTTTTTTCAAAACCACTTGTATAAGATATTTTTAAAACATTTATAGTAAGAACATTCTTTTCAAGAAAGATATCTACGAAAGATTTTTGTGAATATTTGCGAAGACTCGTGTCAAAAAAAAACACCGCCATTAAATTTCCCCGAATAAAACGTACCGTACGCGATGTGTACCTTGACGCTATCAAAGACCGCCACGGAGGAGAACACGCGGGATATTCTTTTTCGCGAAAAGCGGAATTTCGGAATGCGGACGCGGTGTCTGGCTTGTTGAGAAAATGCAAAGGGGAATTGCACTGACTGCGCTGCCGCCGACGAAAACGCACATGAATGTGGCCACGGGAGGAGAGGACGCGGTCGGCATTCGAGGTATTTCTCTATTGTGTGAGAAGATACTGGTCTCTCCGGTTACAAATTGCCGGTGTGAATTGGGTCATTTCGCCGCCGTTTTCGCCGTAACAACTTTCCTTTTAATCCTTTTACGCGATTATACAAATATTAGGTTTTAAGCCGCGCGCCCCCCACGTCTGACAAATCTCGACATTAGCATGCGAGAAGCAATTATTTTTAATTATCATCTCGAAATATATGCGAGCAAAACCGACGAGGAGTGTATTTCGAATTTAAAGGTAATTAAATATATATTTTTATATCTTTTTTCTCGTATGAAAATAAATCCGAATATTTTCAGACTGCCGGTACAGCGTATTCGCACATGTGTGCGCGATGTGCGCGAGAGAATTAATGAAAAAATATGTGTCTCTCGCTCACATACTCGCACCGTGACGAAAATATGTAACTTACATTTTTATTCGTAAAAATTGCGTGTTTACCTGTTCGGCAATATGTCTCCAGATGAGAGGATCTGTTTGTATAAAGAGCGAACAGGTGTTGTTCTCCTTGGACCTGGTCGCTCTTCGCGGCCGTCGATGACTAGGTTCGTTGGCTTCTTTGCTGTACTTGTGACCAGGCGTCTCCCGATTGCCGTTCCAGGGTGCGACATTTGGTTTCGGTTCTGTTTGATTCGCGACACCCGATGCCACGTTATATCGGGTAACGATGTCTTTTTTTTCGGATTCCCGAGCGGAATTCTGAATTTGCTCCATCCATTTTAATACCTCGTCGTTAATCCCGCATCCGCTGAATTCGCCTAAAAAACAAAAATCATCGTCGTCCCAACGTTATTCGCAGATAAAAAAAAAAGTACGTATGTTTATATCAAGTTAATTGCTTGAGAGTTTAAAAGAAAACTTCAAATTCATCTCTGAAATATTTTTTCTATAGACCTCCATCCTGAGTGGATGCGTGAAGTGTCGAATATTGGAAGGTAAGTATTCTGCGGATGAGAAGTGCCACCGCGTGAGCGCGATATACCGAAGAGAGAGAGAGTTTTATGAGTACTCGGCTGTGCAAACTTAAAACGGGCAAAGGCGAAGCGCGTCGAACGTTTAAAAAGCTTTTTCTGTCGCGCAGTTATCAATGTTAGTTCGCGCGTAAGATTACACTTGTGTGAACATACTAGCCTCACTCGCAAGGCGCACGCTGCACGTCTATGTAGTAATTTATTTTGCAATAATTGTCGAAATTACGATGTGGAATTTAATGCTCACAAGAATGTAAGTACAGTAAAATTCGATCACATCCTCACCTAGAGTCAATTAAAATTTTACGAGCTATGGTTATTCGAGCGATTTCGTTACACGTCTTTTCGTTACACGTTAAATCCTGTCGCTTATTCGCCGTTCCAAATTGATCCTAAACACGAAACAACGGGAGGGATAATGGAGGCCCTCCACTGGTGCTCACCGCTGCTTTCGCCCTTCTCCGTGATCGTGTGTGGATGAAAATCTGGGAGCGCGAGTCGTAAGCCATTTGCGAGCGAGCGCAGCAACGTTCCTTAATTAATGGCAAAGTTCATTTCCATTAATTCTGAATCTACCTCGCGGAACTCACGAAACATTCACGAGCCACGTGGGAGCTTTACATCATCGATAGAGCCGAGATACACGCGTACACGTTTGAGCGTTCCGTATTCGCCTCGCAAGTTCGGTAGGCCGAAGTCTATCTCGAAGATCCTCGAACGCAGCGCGGGAGATATGTGGAGAGTCGAATAGCAATAACGATATAAACCCGAGATCTCCAAGTCACGTACGCGTGTGCGCCGTGCGCAATCTGCATCGCGTGAGATCTTGTTGTCACCGAAACAGCGGAGCGTGCGGCGGCTTAATCATCGGCGCAATTCCGCAATACGAGCTATCTGCGTATAAAGCGAATACACGAACATAATGTGGCGACTAATGGCGACCTTGTCGTGGTCTCCCGGGTGCCGTGTCGTGGCGCACAATGACGCTGTTACGCGCGGAAATATCTACGTTGCGGGATTCCCCGCCTCTTCGAACGGGGGGAAACCATCTTGCGCGATTCGATCAACAGCGCGGGATATTATCATCCCGCTGATGATTATTTTATTTTCCGGAGCTGCTGAGACACACACTCGTGATTTTTGCCGCGTATGTGCGTGCGAAAAAAATTGATTCCCTCTCTTCATAAAATATATGTAATCTGGTAAAAGTATATCGCATTTTTGCCCTCGCATTCTTTTTAACCATTTTTTGTGTATTATTACCTTCATATATTATTATTATTATTATTATTATTATTATTATTATTATTATTATCTTTCTCCCATTTATTTTACGCAGTTGCGAAACATAAATCATGCCAGACAGATGTGATCAAAGTGTCTTTCCCAAAAGCGGAATATTTTTTATCCGCAATAAGCACGTGTGCCCGATGCGTAATTTTTCTTCGTGAATTTTACACAAGAAGTCAACGACGTGTGTCACTTATATATATATTCTTTCAGAAGCAATACACTAAGATATTTTATATCTCTTTAAGAGAGAAAAAGTCGTAAGTTCTTAGCACGAACTCAAAGACGGAAGATGTTAAGAAACTCAAACGCGCCATCGCATTTCTAATTTTCCAATAGACATTCTCGCGATTTTCAACGAGAGAAGTCGTTTCGCATAAGTACGAACCAATAACGTCGCGCTACCAATAGAGCCGGGATAATCGCGGCTGTCGGCTTTATTGGCGGGTTAACCGTGAGCCGCGAGCTTTAATGACTCGGCGTTTCAAACGTGACGATATTGGCTGTCTGCACTATTGACTACCACTACTGCCACGCTACACCTGCTACAACCACTACCACCATTGCCGCGCGCTACTGTGTCGGCATTAATAGGAATTACCACCTTCCGCTAAGTGGAAGATGAAAGAAACGTCGTCCACGACGACGACGACACATCAAGCATCTGTTAATGTCAGAATATGCCGACGCGACAAGTTTTCTGTTCAGATTTCGCGCGCGCGCAAACAAAAAAAAAACAAAACACGTGATGTATTTCTTTTTATTTCGACGCACGTTCGTTCCTTAAGATATTTACCAGTAAAATTTTCTCGCGCGTATTTTTATTTTTTAATAACATAAAAATTACACGCATCCACATCGTGCCTAATATCACATCGTGCAGCGTCTCTGAGAAAAACTCGATCTCGGAGAGAGTAGATGAGGTGCATTTCGCTCCATTCCACTTCTCTGCTGTATCTCGCTCTGCTCTCCGGGCGTCATCATCGTGCCTTGTACAGCACTTCAATAAATGTAGCAAACTCATAACGTCTGACGTGCTTTCCGGGAAGCAAACACGCCGTGATGACACGATTCGGTCCGCGCGCGCAACATGCACGGACGAACGGGGCGCGATAAATATTACACGCGATACGCCGTCTGTTTATTTCAACGTTGGTCGTTTGTGTCGTTGCCATAAACAGAACGACGACGACGACGACGACGACGACAACGACTACGGTGGGATTGCGCCGAGCAAAATCCACCGCGCGCTGACTATGCTCGATTTAGGACCCGAGACACCCACCACTTTCCGCAGTCAGCCGCGCACCTATCCAAACGGACTCTCTCCACTTTCCTCCGTAACGACACCGTAAATGGTGCGTGGAATCCCGCGCCTGTGGACTTTTCGATATCTATATCTTCGCATAAACGACGCGATCCAGCTTGCGCGCCAATCGCCCGAGTCGTCTCGTGATGAAAAAGCGCAAAAAAAGAGAGCGCGCGTAAAGCCGAATAATTTCGCTCGAATGGTCGCTTTTCTCTCGAATTAAATTCGCTTCCGTTCGCGAGTCTCAATTTCAACACACACAGATATAACAATAATCGTATCGTATGTCACAATAAGAAAGACGCTTATAAAGATTTGAGATAATCATTTTTTCTCAGAAAGCTGACAATTTTCAATCGCGTTCTCAATCAACCCTCTTGTTACAGCGAGTATAGCGCGCGAAATTGACGCGCGTGATATCTACGCGTTTTCAAGAGTGAGGTCTCTCCCGGGTGAGGGGTGGTCGTCGTCGGTGCTACGAAGGAAGAGAACGGAAGAAGAGAGAGAGAGAGAGAAGAGGATGTGTTCCGAGAAGAGGACGGAAGAGATGTGCATCGCGTGACAAAAAGGTGCGCGGCGAGAAATGCAAGCCGCGCTGCGATGCCGTGAGGCGCCACTTCGAGGTTGCCGTCAGTGAACAATTCAGACGATTGGAAACATTCTAGGACCCGTGATCCGCCTTATAATTAACTACAACCTTCCGTGCGCGACGGACGTAACAATTATTACCGTATCTGAACCGATGGTTATATACAAATCGCCGCCGATTTTTGTTCGAAATCGTCGAACAATTAAGTGTTTTTTTGTTTCTCAATCTCGTTTAATATCAGACTTTTTTATCTAAATCTACATCGTCTAGAGCTGATAAATATAATCAAAACAATTACGAATCGCCAAAAACTTATATCCGATGGCGACTTTTGTGTTAACGTGCGCGTTTAAACGATTTTTATTTTGTTTTATTTTTATCAAAAAAGGAGATTTGTGTTTTTCTACCAAACAAATTACATCCTCGTTTGCGAGCGCAGTGTCGATTTATCTCGAGAACTTAATATCTAATAATTCTGAGAGAATGTTTTTTTTTTTTTTTTTTTTTTTTTTTTGTGCATCTTACCTTCTCGAGCCTCCGCGTACGGATCGCCGACATCATCCTCATGATAGATCACAGAATGCAGCGTCTCGTTTATTTCGTGCGGCGGAAAGTAGTAATGCGCCCTTTCCACGTACCAAGAGCCACTTCTCGGAGATACTATCTTCCCATGAAAGACTCCATCACTGACACTACCGAACACGTGACTACCAGGCTCGCCTGAAAGTAAAAAGAAAAAACGCATTGATAAATTCTGCCAGAAAAAGCGCGCGTAAATATTCACAATCGATTCTCTCGATATTGAATGCCAACTTTTATCTCGACGCTGATTGGACGTTTCTAGAATGCGTTTCTCGATTCATGTCGTACATATCAAAACGCACTCAAGAACGACTGAACCGATCACTTTCGTTTTAGTCTAAATCGCTTCAAAACACTAAAAAACAAAAGTATTCTTGCGTTTTTTAAAGTCACGTAACAGGGAGAAGAGAAAAAACACCACGTGACTAAAGCAACGTGACTGCACTTTAGTGACGTGTCTTTAAAAGCGTGACTAAAGTGAAGTCACGTGACAGGATAGAGAGGAAAAACATCATGTGACTATAAATATATACAATATATATTATATATAATATTCTCTTTTTTATTCTTATCCTTGTCACGTGACTTTAGTCACGTTTTTAAAGACACGCGACTAAAATACAGTCACGTGTTGTTTTTCCACTCCTCCCGTCTTTCTATATATTTTTCGAGTTTGATTTTCACACGTTACGTCTGACATCTCTCATACATCATGTATATTATATGGTTTGTAAGACGTATATACTAGCTGTCATCGCGGCGACAGGTTGTTTACTGGCAACACGTTAAAATAAAAAAAATAACAGCGTGCGCGTAGCGCGCGCCTGTGTTGTATAAACAAATCCAAATAATTGCAAATTACCAAAAAATATTTATTTGATGGCAGTTTTACTGTTGCACTGTGAGCATTTGAGCAATCTTTATTTTGTTCTACTTTTATCCAAAAGCTAAAAGTTATGTTTTCCCACTTGATAAATTTTAGGTAAATAAATAAATTGTGATTGAAAATCAATTTTTAATTTACGAGCTTGCGAAAACATTGTCGATTTATCTCTTAGAGAATTGAATAATTTTTTCCGTAGAAAGAATCCCCGCAATCGGACGCGTGTGTCTCGGCAAAATTTTCTCTTCTGTTTTTTTCTTAGTAAATAACACAAGTAAAAAATATATCTGAAAAAGCGACTAGAGCAAGGTTGAGAGAAGATGCTTATTTTCGTTTATTTTATTTTTATTTTTATTTATTTTGTTTTCTTTTTGCTTTCACATATGTCTTCGTTAAGAAGTAAAGAAAGTCATGAAGGCAACATATAAATAGTAAGGTGCGCGCATGCGAGTACGAAACCGTGTTCATACGAGACAGCTGCGAACTCTCGTCTCGCTCGAAAAAGTATCGACAGTGCCAACGGTGGAAACTTTGTCGCTCGGCAAAACTTTCTGCGCCGGAAATTGCCGGCTTCACGCAACGTGCATCGTGCTCTTCCTGCCACGGTGTATAATTTACTCGTTTAAGCGAGATGCACGTAGGAAAAGTTGTACATGCATGTACACATATATATATGTGTGTATAGATATATTATATTTTTTATCTTTTCATCACACTACGGAAAATTAAATCAAGAATTAAAATAGCGCAAAATTGGAGCACAATTCAATGAAAATTTATTGAAAAGCTACACATCACCTCAGTCTATACAAAACTCGTAATCAAATTAAACAATCTTGTGAGATCAAGAGTCAAAGAAAATGACATACCGAACGAGAATACGGAAATGCAATGCTTTGTTTTTCGAGCGTGTGGCCTCGCGCGCGCGAGAAAGAGATACACGTGAGAATTCAGAATCTATACGTAAGCTGCGCATTATTATGATTCGAAAATTTCTTTGTAAGCGCAACGAACCATTTTATTTTCCTTTGTGCGACAAATATAACCACGTTTGTCGAGAAAAATATATACATTTGGCTTTTTCTCTCTTTTTCTCTCGGAACGCGACGCAACCGGATTCGTATCTCGGCGTTCGCGCGTTGTGCATGAAAAATATTTTGCGACACGTTTTGCGAGCAATGCGCCGGACGTGAAAGGACGCTATTGAATCATTAAAAGCGTCGGACGCCTGAAACCTGAACGTATTACAGATAGCGGGTAAACGATGATAATAATAGAGAGAATATTCACCAAAGCGCGCGCGTTCCTGTGCGCGCGCGTATACCATTTTTCTCTTTAGATAATAGATTGCGGAAAAGTGGAGTCGGCCCGCACACACTGTCGAGAGCTTATCACAATTCAGAATTCCTTTTGATACGTAGGAACAAAGGATACCTTTCGCTTCCGGAAGCAGAAAACGTTCCACAGCCGGTCTTCAACGTCAAGCCAAAGTTCTCTATCGCCAAAATTTTCGGTCGAACGATATTAATATTGTTATTCGGCCTAGCGTTAACGTAAATAATTTTTTTTTTTATTCAACATTGCACCGAAATGTTTGTTTCTTTCGGAAAAAAATTACCTTTGCGATGTCTATGCGCGCTGTACTAAAATGTCAACAACAATCTGCACGCAACAGATTAAATGTAAAGACGTTTTTTTTTTTTTTTTTTTTTTTTTTTAATGGCGATTAAACGAAGTTTTGAAATAAACAACTCGTTATTTTGCGAAACTGCAAACAATAATCATTTTCTGTAATTTCACTCTGTAATATCACGCGAAATCAGCGAAATCCTTTCGGATTTTTGGAAAATGTGACGTGAAAGATGTTGAATTTCGAGGTAATCCTTTTGGTGTCAGATAAGGTTTCTCGCGTGTGCTTGACAACAAGCGTGTCACATACATCACGGAGCTCGCACAATGACTAACTCTCTCGCGCGTCATAGTCGTAAGCTCACGATTTTCGGAATTCCCTTTGATCCGTAAAACTGAAGTACGCCTACTCGTGGCATTATATCCGACGAGAAACAGGGAGCTCTAACCGGGTCGCGCGAAGCTAGAGATAAACCGTTCTCTGACACCTCGTCGCCCTGATCCATAATTTAAAGCCTTCCCCTTGCCCGGAACACGCTCGGCTCCCGTAAATTATCAGAGCAAGAGAGAAAGAGAGAGAGAGACTGAAAATAAAGGTTCCACCCGGTATCTACGCTGACACGCACTTTTGCATGCCACATGGCGTGGCTATCGAGAAACATCGCGGAAGTAGTACCTGCTACACGAGTAAACGACGAGGTACCTTGTCGAGATCGCGCGCGCGCAAGCGAACGCTGCAGAACGCGGAACATTTTGGCGTGGAGGTCGGACGAACGGACGGACTGTGCGAGCCCCGCGCCGTTATAAATTTAAGTATGGCTCTTTGTTTGTACAGTTGAGAGCGCTTCTCTCCGCTTCCGTTGAATTTAGTTTATTTTGATGGAAGTTCCTTTGAATATGCAAAGCATCTTCGTAAGGGTTGGCAGCAACTTCAGCAGAATGTTCCGCGGTAAATTCGACAACTCCTTTCCTCACCGGGAATTCGATTAGATTTCATGTTTTGTTTCGCGACTTTGGAATAATACGCTATCTCGAACAAGTTTCAACGTCGAGATTCCTTGTTGCGTTACGAACCGACTTGATTTAATTGAATATTGTTTAATTTGCTGATAAAAATAAAACACGAAATGTATTAATTGGTTTCGAATTCCTTGTAACGTCACGATTAACATTGAGTTCGCGAACTCGCGCAAGTTATTTCTCGGCGAAGTCTCTCTCTCTCTCTCTCGATCTCGGTTATTTCTCGCTGAAACAATACGCGACATGTGCTCTCTTTATTTTCTTTGAAACAAATACTTTTCGGAAAAGGATGTGCGCAAACATGGAAACTTATGCGATTCGATATGTGCCGGCGGTTACGCGAGTCTCGCGGAGCGAGAGCAAAGTCTCTCTTTCGGTAGATAGGTACAGCGAGCGATCGCGACCGATCGATTCTGTGTAACTTTACATTGCGGGTGTCATTTACGTGAATATATAGGGCACCGCGAGAGAGAAGATTGCCGAGTTGATATCATAATACCGCGCGCGGCTCTATATTTGGAAAAGTGCATAGAACGCGAAATACAATATCGCGCAAGTCGCAGACCTCTCGCGACGCGCGCTCCATAACACGCGCGTCGTCCACAACACAGAAGTCTCCAAAGAGCGGTATTTTCTTTTTAACGACACGGATGCGGTTGTAGAAACGACGATGGGAAAACTTGTGTCGCGAGACACACGTTGTCAATGCAACTTTATGTGTAGGGTACGCCGAACGCAAAACGAATAGAATTAACCGTGTGACATATGATGTAACATTTTTGATGCGAAAACAGAAATGTGTAATATATTGCATTATCGATTTTGGAAATCGCATGTTGTCTGACAGATTACTGAAAAACAAAAAAACAAAAAAATAATAATAATAATTCGCAGTGTAGCGTGTAAAATAAAACCAGCCGACAGCGATCAGTTGTAAATCTAGTTAACTGAAGGCGTATTTAATCAAATCGCGTTTTATTAAAATGCAGATGTTATTGATGATATTGTCTGCGCAATCAACTTTCTGTCAATCGGGTGTCGCCGTTGCTCAACGCAGATTTGCGTATTATCGGATAATAATGTCTTTTTCATTATACACGTATGCGTTAAACTGAGCGGAAAAAAAATTAGACAATTCAAAAAAAAAACAAACATACCGATCAGATTGCCCTGGTAAATGTGGGAGACGTCGCAGTCGTGCCGTCTCTCTCCCGCGGAGTCCTCGACAATGAGGTTGTTGCTAAAAGTGGTCAAATCCCGCTTTAATCGGATGCGGAAGTCTCTGCCGTGCGCGCGAAACTTCACCGTCACGGTGCTGTCGCGGCTGACCGACCTCTTCGCTCTCAGATGATTCCGATGGACTTCCTCGACGGGATACGACAGCGGCTCGTAGTGGCGAATGTACTCGTTTAGTCGGCGAGCTGTGAACAGACAAAGCAACAACGGACGGATTAATATCTCCTACCTGGAAATAATAAAATCCTAAGCCGAAGAGAAAGAAGTGAACGGCAAACACATGTATTGTTGGCGCTCCAATCGTGTAAATATTACATTTGAAAAAATCGACTTTGTTAAATCTTCGAGATAACTTTTGACTTCAAGTATTTTGATATTGTTACGCGTTTTCTTATTGTTGAACAGCTAGTTCTTCGCGGAGTTTGCTACGGAAAAATTGAAACTACTAAGGAGAAGAGCGTGAGGAGGAGAGAAGATGGCTTCGAAAACAACGCTATATAGATCGAGTAGTTGCGAACTTTGTCACAGATGTCGAGCGTTTTTCCCGAACAACAAATACGAGAGAGATAGAGAGAGAGAGAGATAGATAGAGAGTGTCATATTTCATTTTGCAGAGTTTAAAACGTATCCGATAAATAATAGCTCGGCCGAACTTGAGAGCGCATAAAAACTCCGACTTCCTCAGACAGTCGCTTAATCAGGTCGAGCGAATAACTCAACATCCGCACAGCGCGCGGTTGTATTTTTGTGTGTTCTCATCAGTACCTCATCGGCAACGCCCGGAAGGGAAAATGGAAGTTTCTTCTCTCCGCCCGTTGCAAATCCCAGCTCAGGTTGTCTCATACGGAGAGAGAGAGAGAGAAAAAAAAAGCATCTGATCGACGTGTTGAGAATCGAACGGGAGAGAAATCCTCCGGAGATTCGCGGCGGCGTACTTGCGTGTTTGGCGCTTAGCGAGTTCATCTCCGATTACGTTAACGAGACAAAGTGCTCCGCGGAGAAATGACGTGGCAGGCACACGGGTCTCGAGCTTTCATATCGCTCGTAATTTCCGACGGCGTGGCTTGAATTTCATATCAGACGCGCGTTACTTTCTTCTTTACTCCCGAGTAAATCCCGAGAGTAACCGCGCGGGGCGACACAAAAAGGAGACGATACGGTGACGTTACGTCGCGGCGAAGCTGCCATAATTCGCCGTCGAGTTTCGCGTATCTACAGGACGAGAGCAGCGCATTCTTACGCGCTCGTCCAGAATCCCAAGCGCTCTCCTTGCAAGAGAGAGAAAGAGAGAGAGAGACGCGTTGCTCTCTCGGAAGCGAGCGCTTCTCTCTCGCGCGAGAGATAAATAGATAGATAGATAGAGAGAGAGAGAGAGCGCACACAACGTCTCTCGCTCGTAGTATGAATATTATAGAGGGCAAAAATGCACTTTCCACGTCGCGTCATTTAGCCGATTTCTAAAGAGCGCCTTTCGCGCAAGCACCTCGCATTATGCTTCCACGAAGAAGCGCGCACTCCGCTGCCGCTTCTCTCGCATTCATGATAAGTGCAATTGCGCAAATGAGTCGGTCGATACCAGACGCGTAACTTTTAACGTTGATCATGGTAAATGAGGCACGTAATTCCTAAAGATCTTAGAGCTTTCGTGCCTGTGTTTAACGAACAATGCGCTGAATTGTGTCACGTTAATAAAGTGACGTGTGCGCGGCGCGGGTTTCGCATTACGCGCGACATGATTGTGAATCCTGCGTGGAACAAAAAAGTATTTTCCTTTGTGCGAAATGTATGCGTCATTGCGCACAGCGCGGCGATGTAAGAAATTCCATTGGTTCCGGAAATTCGATATTCGCCGAGAGAGTCTGACGTAACTTATATTCATTAAGAATCTATCTCGCGCGAACGGCGCGAGAAATTCGCGAAGACAAAGAGAGAGAGAGAGAGAAAGCAATTTGCGCGCTTCTAAAAAAAAAAAAAAAGAAGAAAATGAAAATGTCTTATGAGACGTTCAGTAATGACGTTTTCATCGTCGACGTCAAGGGCATTTAATTTCATTATGCGAAAGAATTATGTAATGTTGCATCCAGTATCTGAGAAGTCCGAAAGATGCTTACGTAAGAGCATTAATTCGTTCAAGAATTGTAATTAACGTTCTATTACGAGCACAATGAGAATTGTTTCTCTCTCTCTCTCTCTCTCTCTCTCTCTCTCTCTCTCTCTCTCTCTCTCTCTCTCTCTCTCTCTTTCTTTTTTTGTTTTTAATACTTAATAGCTTTCTCTTGAACGTACTTACAGCTACTACTATTTACAGACATCAAAAGAAATCCTAAAAGTATTAAACACGACACGTATAAAATGTACCTGAAATTATATATATTTCCAGATATTTAATTTCTCTAATATTGCTGTGAGTGATAAAACCGTTTCTTTTTTTTTTCTTCTTGATGGAAGAGATATCTAATATTTCATTTAGGTTCAAGTGTAGAGAGATCAAAAAAAGAGATATCTAATATTTCATTTAGGTTCAAGTGTAGAGAGATCAAAAAAAGAACGTCAAGACTCTCCTTAGGTTTTATTCTCAGACTGTGGTCGCGGCGTCAGAACAAAGAGGAGATCCATAAGCGGTAAGCTCGAAATAAGCTGATTGTCCACCCTCGCTCGGAACCCTCCGTTTTCACCCGGCGATTCCAGATCATCGAAAAAGGTATGAAACCGAACACGAAAGGCTTATCAGCCAAACACCCCATCCGTTCACGGTAAAGGAAAACTGGTGTCCCTTCTATCCCTCATTTATTACATAATAACGAGACTGTGTCAGCTCTCGAAATCCAATCGATAAAGTGTTTGGCATATCGTGTCTTAAAATAGAATTGTTCATATTTGTGACACACACGCTATGTTATTTTTCTCACTTTCAAACTGCATATATCAAAAAATTGTCAGAGAAAAACTATTTATAAAAAATTTATTAACAATTTGTATGCAGATACTATTGAGTATTATTATTATTATTATCATCATCATCATCGTCTCTTCTTCTTCTTCTTTCTATTTTATTATTTTCATTATTTGTTCCACCAATTTTGTTACAGAACATTATCTTTATCGAAGCCTCTACGTTTCAACAAACATCCCGTATCAAATAAAAACTCAGGAAACGAGATGCGATTCGCTTCTACATTTCCATCCGTTCTCGAATGAATAGAAGGATTCGAAACGAAACATGAAAACGTATCGACATCTAAAGCTGCAGGGACGCATATGATGCATGAGACAGACTGCAGCGACGGTACCTTTTTATGTATTGTAGCGGGAGGCGGATCGATACACATTCGTATAGCGTTACTAGTTTATCTCAGAGTGTGAAAATTCTGCTGGATGTAGGGTGAAAATAAATCAAATACGGTCACGTCTTTTAGGTGTAAAAACAAAAAAATACGGTCGTAACATCTAACGAAAGAGTTGATATACATCGGACGAAATCGGACAGCAACAAAAAAAAATGACATTTCTCATTTTGCAAGATATGGATATATATATATATGCATATCTCGCAATGCGCAAGTATATATATACTTGCGCATTTAAGTTATCTTTTACTTTGAATTACACAAAATCAGACATTATTTTTGAAAACTAAAATAAAATGTCACAGAGTTTTAACGCGCACGTTATACATTAAAATGTACAAAATTTTACTTGTCCGACATTCAAAAAAACCGATTTTTTCATATTTTGTTTGTAATAATTAAATGTCTGATAGATAACATTTCTGAAGCTTTTTTTGTCGGATGGAAACTAAAACAAGAATAATGACCAATAATATCTCTGTGTTTCGAAACAACTAAACCCGGATTAATTAAATCGCATAAAAAACATATATTGCATAATAACGCAGCTTTGTTTGTCAATTCTCATTTTGTTGTAATGAACATTAGCGAGCTTAAAACAAGCTCGCTATCTAAACAATATCCGCCGCTCTGCAGAGAGTTTTGTGAGTAACTCTCCACGGTAATATATTTATCATTTTATCCGAGTTTTAATTACGTTTCTGACGAACATTTCCAATATCCCGGCGTCGAAAAAAAAAAAAAAAAAAAAAATAACGTCATTCAGATGACAAAAAATTCATCCCGGAGCGACAGGACCGTCGGTTTTGCAACTGTTTTTTAATGCCGGCGTCGACGAGAAAGAACGAAAAGTAATATTCCAGAGAGACGGAGAAGAATGATATCGGAAAATGAGGAGGAACGTCGGAGAAAGAGAGTCTCTCCCATCAGCTTTCCAATTTTCCGAGCTGTGTCTTCGGCCGCGCCGGTATTCTTTCGCGCGAATTGCATCGAAAACGCTCCTCGGAGCGCCATGATATTTGGATACGAAGATGAAGGAGCCGTGCGGGGCGTCGGAAACAAAAAATGCAAATTGTGTGTCTACCCCGGCGCGATACCTGCGGGAACCATCAGTCCTCTCGTTGCCGGCGTCGTCGAGCGACAAAAGTTGCATTGTTTAACCCCTCCGATGTATTTTAGAGCTCGAAATAACTCGGGCGCGCGTTGCATATGAATTTTTTACCATATACAAGCAACTTTATACGCATATTACTTTGCTGAAACTTTCTATTTTGTTTCGCGTATACTTCACTTTTTTGCTTTTTGGAAGAAAGCTTTTCCCTTTTCTCGTTGTATTCAAAGTAGTAGAGCATTTATATATAATTTTTCTCGAAAGATTTAACAATTTCTATTTTTTTTTGTTTTGTCATTTGTTTCTGCGTCTCACAAAATAAGTTACACATGAGAGAAAGAGAGAGAGAGAGAGAGAGAGAGAGAAAAAAAACACTTGCTGTAAAACAAAATCTTTATATTTTTCTATTTGTTTGGATCAATTCGATCTTTGAATTCATAGATAGACGTTTTAGTTTTACGTTCTTTCCAGATTCAGCGAGTATATTCTAGAAGTTTTGTTCTTCTTAGTTTCATGACCGACCGTATATATATAGTGGTCGTATAGTTGAGTGTACGTAACCGTATTGGAGCACAACATCCGCAGTGGTCACAGTCGGTCGGCGAAATCGTCACGTCCACGCGCGGCAACGCTACGTCAGAGCGAAATTAAATCCCAAGGTAAACGCGCATCAGATGTGGTTATTGAGGAAAACGGGTCAGTGCACGTGCCATTGTGCTCTTTGACG